GCAGGGAGCCCGATGTGGGACTCGATCCCAGGACCCTGGGATCATGACCTGAGCCGAAGGCAGATGCTTAACGACTGAGCCACCCAGGCGCCCCCCCTTATGCTTTTTTAAATATAAATACAAGAAGAAATCAGCTAAGAAACTTTTAGGCTCATGGATCATCCTTAAACGTTACTGGTAAAACGAACTGCAATTTTTCCCATGTTATCCACAAATCAGCAGCAGCAAAACTGAGAAATCAGTATCACTAAAGATAGCAATTAACACTCCATTTACCAAAAACAGAACCCATATTAAAGAGCAGTAATTTTTAGATAGAGTTGAAACAAATAATCCTCAGCAAAAGAAAAACCATCTCTCAAACTCCCTGTTGAGACCCTGGCTCCCTGTTGAGACCATCAATCAGGCCGCTGTACTCCACTGTCAGAGCTGCATGATAATTAGAGCTGGGCAACTCTTTCATTCCTAACGGTTATTTTTAGTTCTCTGTGACTTTTTGGAGAAGTTACTTTTTTGAACTGCACTTTCTTGGAGATGGTCTAAACCCAGAAGGAAACAGCTTAGATCTACCAAAATGTATTATCTGAGTGCTCTGGAAGAAGGACACGCGTGTGTGTGTGTGTGTGTGTGTGTGCACGCGGACGGGCTTTGGGAATGCTCTGGGAACTCCAATGCTGCTCACTTCCAATACCATGTTGTCATCAAGATGGTTTCTTTTTCTGTATGATTATTCTAGAATTCTCATCTGATAAATCAATGTTTAGATTCACAACGGAGGGACTGAAAGAAAAATCTAAAGACACCATATACACGTCCCCAAATAATAGAGAGTTCTTATCTTGGGACTAGAGAACTGCGAAATAAGCACCATGGGAAAGGCATGGCTCAGGCCCTTCTAGATGAATGCCAAAAGCTTATTTAGATCCAAAAGCTACATCAGACATTTTATTTCCAGAAACTGTTGGCACTGTTTAATGCTGCAACCTAAAAAAAACGTATTTTTCTTGTACTTGACTAAACAATCGTAGGCAAAGAAGTTTCAAATAAATTTTTAAAGGCCAATGTAAAATTAGGTTCTGTAGTATCTTAACACACATGCTAAAATTTAAGCTAACTTTGATTTTGTGTTCTATGTGCACATTTATTTTTACAAAGGTCTCCATGGCAGTGAATAGTAAACAGCAGTGTAGTGTAGTCCACAGAAGTCTGCAGCAGGAAGAGGAGAACCTGGGGTTTTGATCCGGATCTGCTGACTAGCTACGTGAGGTTTGAGATTTCTAGCGCTGAGATTCTTAGACGCTAAAACAATGGACCTTACGCTGACTGATAATAAATTCAAACTTTCTATTACATGTAATATTTTAACCACTAGGAGCAAAATTTTTAGCAGCCTGTAAATCACGAGCTGATAATTTCCCCCCTGTACCCCAACACGCAGCATTGACGTGGGTTAGGTTCAGCGTCTCCACAAGCCAGTCACTTCCCACTTCACAGACGCAGATGCTGAGATTTAGGGAGGAGGGGGGTTCTGACTGCCCATCAGTTCTCCCAAGATCTAAGGCCCTCGTTCCACCCAACCCCCCTGATGTCCAAACAAAGACATTTAAGGAAACTCTTTCTCATCTGTAACATTAAAATCATCAGCACACTATAGATCCATTTCCATCTACCTCAGCAGATATAAAAGCTTCATTAAGAGAACATAAGCTTATTCAAGACCATTTGTTGGAGGGGAAAAAAGAAGAATGAAGGCAGAGGCAACAGTTACAACTCACCACACACAAAGCCATCTGGGCTAACAGCAAAAATACTTCTTCCTTTTAGCAGCTGAGGATGGGCGCAACTGGCATTTACAAAGCTCTGAAAGTTGTTTTCTGCCACCCACTGTGGGAGCCATTTTAGTTGGCAATCGCACAAAAGGCTTGATGTATTTAAATGCCTGAGGAGAGTAATTACGTTCAATTTGTTTTATATGAAATGCAGATTCTACGAGTAAACTAACTCAAGTAAATATTAACAAAGCAATGAATGTGGAAACCAAATACACACACCCCATGCAATAAATATTCTCTAGTCCATCTTAAAATGTATGAAATATTAGCACCATGTTGTTGTTCTTACTGACCTACTGAGGGAGAAGTGCTGATATATTGAAAACACCTCACTCCTGAAGGCTTGCTATCATGATCAGGTCCCACAAATTTAAATTGCAAATTCGTAACAGAAACAAAAAAACTTCTCAACAAAAGAAACAAATCACCAACTCCCTTTGCTTTCTGGTATAAAAATTAAGTAAAGCTAAGAACGCGCTAGATACATTTTATAGACACGTGATCTAGGCTGACATGCCCCCCCCCCGCCCCCCCGCCGACAGCTTCCCTGACACCATGTTTCATTTGAAACTCTTGGAAAGAAAAGGAAAGCTTACAATTGCTGAAGTTTCTTCATTTGTGAAAATGCATTGCCTTGTAATGACATGATTGCGTTGTCACTCAGATCTCTGAAAACAACCAAATTGAATACATTAGAGGGAATCACTGCCTGCCTCAGGCAAAAGCTGGGCCCACACTGCCCACCCCATTCACCAAACTACTCCATGTGCTGAAATGCACCAACTGGGCAACTCCAGAAGAACCCATTAGGAACCTTGGATCAAAGAACACGAATATTTGTACCAGAGGCAGGTTCTGTTATAGTAAAAAAGATTTGCTTTATATCATCATGTCCAGGTTATTTGACTCATGAGGGCCTACTAAGCTGTTCTGCTGTATTTTTTTTTATAGTTTTATGGTTTGTTCTGCTGTATTATTTTATTGCGTTTGTCAATATTCAAATTAGTAACCAATAGTAACTTTTAAATACACAAGTAAAATTTCTCATAGTTATGCTTTTTAAAAAACCCATCATGTATAAAATACTTTCTATGACATGCACTGCGTTAAATGATTTACATTTATGTAGTATTACATTTATTCCTCATAGCAACCCAAAAGAATATGGTTTTACTACCTTGTTCACCATGAAAGGGGAAGATGTGAATTCAATTATTTTCCATTTCAAAACCTATGCTCTTGATCAGTAACCCATTCTGCCACACACAACTCACTAGTAGAGACAGTAAGGCATTCAGACAAGATGTACTTGCTTTTAAAACACACTTTGGGCAGGACATTTATAAAACCAGAGAATATTCTAGGCTGAATTTATTTTTAACTAGTGCTTACAAGCAGTTTGAATTAAAGCACTCTCCACAATGATTACTACTCTGTTTTTCTTTATGGGGTCAGAGTATACATAAAGGATCCTGAATGAGATGAGGGTCAACAGAGGACAAAGGTACCAAACATGGGCAGAGAAAGAGGCTGGGAGAGTCAAGACGGTTTAAAAAACTGCAGCAGAGGTTAATACTCCACTGATCCACTAATTCCACTTTCCCAGAAATGAAATGGGTCAGATGACAAACCCTTTGGCTAGTTTCCCTTTGAAAATAATTTGTTTCAAGAAGTCCAGCAACACTGGTCCGCCCTTCCAAATTCTGCTTTGCAGAACCATCTGACTCCAGCCTGAATTGCTTCTGTCAGCGTGGCTAGCAATCCAAACCTCCCTCAAACTAATAAATGAGTCAGAAAACAAGGTGGTCACAGACAATGGCGAAATCGTCTCTCTCAAACACAGTGCAAATGTGGGTTTGCCCAAATGTGTTCCGAACTTCTTTTGTCCAAGTTGATATTAAAACTTTTGGCTATAAACATTCCCTACTAGAGTGGAGATCTTTTACATCATTTTTTACTTTTTCTGTACAAGTGGAAATATTCCCATGGTTGTAAGAAGCTGGTTGGTTCAGCGCTCATGCGGGTTTTGACTCCTATCAAGGCTGGCTAGCTTGCCCTCCTAGTGGCTGCAAATATCTGCGTTCCCTAAATGTCATTTCAAAAACATGTGAGGGGGTGGTGCAGAGACTGTGAAGACAAGAGCTAGTGTGGCACAAGGACACGGACAGCAGAGGCAGCCCTGGTGTGAGTCCTGCCTCGGGCAACTGCGAGCCGATGTGCTGGTAGCAAAACCGAACAAGAGAAAGAACAAAGGTGGGAAAACAGGTTCTGTGTTTTATAATTAAACAACAGCAATGACAAACTAATAAAAGTCCCAAAGTAGTGTCACTACCCTCCTAATGTCACTCCTAAGGACCGTGGGAAATTGCTTTTTTAATCTTTAAAATGAAAGTCACCATCTTAACTGTTCAACAGAATCAATGGATACTCAAAACCTCCACTTCTTAAAAATAAAGGTAACAGGAGCTACTGGATAATTTTCTCATGAGGATTAAATGAGACTATATATAAATACCTGGCATAATGCCTGATGTATAGTAAGTGCACAATAAATGGTAGGTTTTTGAAAATTACATATATCAATACTTAAGAAAAATAACTGAAAGAAAACCCAATAATGTATAGTGATGTCCTCAAATGCAAAGGAAAATGTATACCTATATACTTTCATATAGATATAGGTACGTAGATAAACTGGTAGAGGATAAGCAGATGTGTAAATATACTTTATGGTACAGAGAGAATGCCAACAAAATTAGATTCTAGTTTATCTTTCATGACACATAAATAGGTAACCATCTTAGACTCCTTTAGGGTAACTAAATTCCAGTCACTCACAGATGTTCTAATGCGTCCAAACCGGTAAAGGCTTTTTTGGTAATAGATCGAATCCGGTTTCCCTGGAGTATTCTGAGGGGGGGAAAAAAAAGTTACAATGGAATAGTTAAAGCCCCATTTGGGGGTGGAATTCTCATGAAAAGAATCTCTTTTAAAATCAATGTGGGGAAAAAAAAATCATTGTGAACAATTCTATTTTCTTCAATTAAATGATATACCCTGTACAAACGTATTCATGCCACCTATTTCAGTAACATAGTTCAGCATGGTCTCAAAGCATTCAAGAGAGAACCGGCAAATATAGGTATTCAATAAGTTACTCCGGCGGTTAAATTAAAGACGTGATTTTCAAAGTCTTCTTAGGAAGAGGTAGAAACTTCTTCCAGGTAAATGGTCTCAGAACTATAATTAGTAAAACAGACAATAGTGGAGGTCTTCTTACGCTCCCTGCCCATGGATAGTTTCATCATCCACGGAAGTTTAGGGCTATATGGAACTCGACTTGAAAACTTCGGACACAGGGTCCGGCCACCAACAGGGCCACTGTAAGGCGAACAGAAGCAGGTTTCTGCCTGTACTGCCTGGAGCCTACAGCAGTGGGCACTGGGGCTCGCCACTTACAGATTCTGTGAGCAGAACGCAACACTGAAAGTTCCAAAATGGTGAGATCAGGAGTGTCCTTCCACACAACGATAATCCCAAGATTCTAAGCACTTGAAACAATTTAAAATTCTGGGCTGGATATTAAAATAAGTCACAGCTCACCAAAGTGTTGGAGAAAACCACCATACCAAGGAAGAAAAGCTAATTAATACCCATCCTGTATAACAACACTCATCTGGGGAGATGACCAAGGGAAGCGACCAGATTCAGCCTCTAGTTCTAAACTCTCTCAAATCTCATCCTGCAGAATGGACTTCAACAGGTGTAGGTCAGACAGGGAGGCAACCATGAAGCAAATCCTACTCACAGCCGCCTCAGTTTGTCAAGCCCAGAGAAAGCACCGTTCATGTCTTCAATAGTCCAGGAAATTTCATTGTTCTTCAGATCCCTAATTATAAGAAGAAATGTTACCGAAACTGGTACCAGGCACTTAACAAAAGATATAAGCACTCTCCTTAGAGAGATGCTCAGAAAGCTAATATTGCCACCCAGGAGGCATGTAATTTGTAATAAATTCCTCATAATCCCCCACGTCATCTCCACCCCTTTCAAAACAATAGAAAACACTTTCCCTCTCCTAACACTAAGTTTTTGTCCAAAATCAGGACAGTTGATTCGGTCCTATTAATTCCTCTATCAAGATGACTAAATTCTGAAAGACCTGAACAATCTGAAAAATACATTAAACTTTAAAACCACCGCTCCAACCACACAAGTAGGAGCTGGCCAAAGCACAGAGCATGTCTTTCAATTATGTAATGCTTCAAATAGTGAACAGAGCAAAAGTTTCTGACAGTGCAAAAACAAAAAAGCCCATTGCACAACATTAAAATGAACATTTTAGAGATTCTTCAAAGGTCAATTAATCCAACTCTGCCTTCTTCCTCTTAGGACAGAGATCAAGTCTGGATATGATAAACAGGCATCTTCCTTTGCTGCTCTTTGTATATCTTTTATGTTCTGGGTACTTTTCTAATCTGCATTTTTATAAAGAAAAATCAGTGGATTTAAAATCGTTTCCCTTTTGAGCAGTTACCAACTTCCTGGAGATCCTGAGAAGGCTAAGTGTAATCACCAAACCAATCTGATCATTGTCCTTTTTAATCCCTCTAAGAAACACATATGGATGAAATGGACTGATTTTAATCAAACTGATCTGGGAAAGATTAAGACACTATTTTCTGAGTCTATACATATTTCCTTCACAACAAAGGAAATCTGCTTGGAGAAAAGTGGGCACATTTAGGAACCAATTAGGTTCATGTATGGAGAACAAAATGTGTACTTACAAAGTCTTTAAACTGGAAAGCCCCCGGAAGGCACAATCAGCAATGTAGCTGACTTTGTTATTCCCAATGTGCAGTGTATTTAGTAAGCTTAGGCCCAGGAAGCTTGAATCATCCAACCTCGATAAGTGATTGAAAGTTAGGTCCCTGTAAAAAAAAAACAAAAAACAAAAACAAATAATAGCCTTTATTTTCCAATTCAACACAATGATTTGTTTTCAAACAACAGGTAATATATGTAACCACAATAATCCTTATTTTAACACTCTGCCTTCTTAATAATACTCAGGTAAACATTATTTCTAATCCTAGTAATTAAAAAAAATTCTCTTTATTTGAAAATAGCCCATCACTGATTTAGACCATGTGCCCTAGAACTCAAACAACACAGTTGGCTTCAACTTATCACAACAAAAATATGACTAGGTTGCATGTGAAAAAAGCTGTCACCCTGGAAACTTTGTTATGAAAATTTCACAGATCAGTGGTAAGAAGCTCATGCTCTGGCATGATCCGTGCTCTCGAACCTGAGGAGAATAAAAGGCAACTCACAGCTCACTGAGTTTCTGGCAGAACTCCCAGGCATCAGGGCTGATCCTGTTGATGGCATTTTGGCTGAGATGAAGTTCCTGCAGCATCAGCAAGCCGTAAAGCCAGCCTTTGGTAATCTCTGTTAGGTTGTTATGGTCCAGCTGCCTACATTTACAATAAGAGTCAAAAGCAGGATCAAAAGTTCATTATCTAGTCTCTTCAAAGGAGACATATGATTACAACCTATTACATATTCCTATTGTTACAAGATGTTTAGCTTTTGTTATATAAAGACATCAGCAAAAAAATACAACGGGCTTATAAATTCTCAGTCATGTTACCTGAAACAAAACTGAGTATTAAATTATAAGATTGTAAATTATGAGATTTTAACATAGGATTTCATAGCACTCCACAATCATACTACCGAAGCAGGAACTGTGATAAGCCACACTTACAAGATCTCCATGTTGCTCAGCCCCCAAAAAGCTCCATCCATAAGTTTTGTTACTCCATTTCTTTGCATTTTCAGAGACTTCAGAGCACCGAGCCCTTGGAATGTGAGCCCATCTACGTTTTTAATCTTGTTCCGGTTCAGTTCACTGCATTGGATAGAATAGTTAAACAGCTTATACGACAAAATTCTGGAGGTGGTAATAAAATGTGACATTACTACAATATAGTTAAACTAGCCTGTATTAAATTACACAGAAGGTTTTAAATTTCTAAACATTTTTATTGAGAAGAATTCGGATTTATTAGCAGGGAGTGAATTTCCTCCTGAAATGTGTGGTATATTTTTGGAATAGTGAAATATTGAAACTAGACTACGCCTTAATTTCTAAAACGCTTATCAACTCAGTGTATTTGTTTTTAGATTATCCAGAGTGAGTAGACTGAATATTATGTTAAAACATGAAGTCTATTCAGGGGCAGGGCTTATTCTGCTTACAAAAGTTGGTTACTCTCTTTCACGGTTCTTTTTCTGTTTAATGCTTTCTCTTCAAGGCAGTCATTTTCAACCTTGGTTGCACACTGAAATCACCTGGAGAGTTTTAAAAATTACCAAAGCCTGGATCTTACCCCCAGAGATTCTAATATAATTGGTCTAGGGTGTGGCCTGGACATTGGGATTTTTTTATATTTTTATTTTTTAATTTTTTTTAAAGAAAGATTTTATTTATTTATTTGACAGAGAGAGAGAAAGCGAGAGCAGGAACACAAGCAGGGGAAGTGGGAGAGGGAGAAGCAGGCTCCCTGCTGAGCCAGGAGCCCGATGCAGGGCTCGATCCCAGGACCCTGGGATCATGACCTGAGCCGAAGGCAGACGCTTAACCGAATGAGCCACCCAGGCGCCCACACTGGGATTTTTAAAAGCTCCCCAGTGCCTATAATGTGAAGCCAAGTTTGAAAACCACTATATTGTAGGAGCCTGTTCACAGATCGTTCCACCACTATTAACGAGACAGCTCTTTGCAGCCACTTAAGCTATAGAGCCTCCTGGAGTTGTTGGTATTATTTTCATAAACCACAGCTGTTGGGCGTCACCATGATTTCGCCAGTGCCACAATGATGCCTTTGTATGGAGATCGTTCAGTGACGACACTGTTCCTTCCTTCAGTAACAATCGAACCTGCCCTGTCAGGCAGGAGTTTGCACTAGGTGACTGTGAAGGCTCTTTCCGATTCAGAAATTCGGCCACTCTAGTTCTCGAAGGGAAGAGAGCCACAGCCTTGCTTCTAAACTCCTTCGGTCACGTTGTGGATTTTAGGCAACAGACACCAAGGGTTCAGAGAAGATGAAGAAACACTGTCTAAGAGGATATCTTACTTACAGGTGTTGCAGTTGGGGCAGTTTAAACATCTTGGGTGGGATAGCTGAGATTCGGTTCCGGTTCAGTTTCAACACCAGGAGTGTGTTGGCCAGATTGTCAAAATACCCAGGTTCCATTAAAGTGACTCGGTTGCTGTTGAGATACCTGTTAAAAGTTTGAAGATGAGCTTCTCCTTCTGGCTCTTTGGAAAGTTAAAACACATATACTCTCTGTATTATAATCTCCAGAGAACCTAACCATCATTTGTATGAACGGACACTTAAAAATTAAGTCTTTGGGTCCTTTTGGACCAACGTTGACTACGATTCACACATACTGCTAAGGAAAGAGTGACTGGAATATTTGAAAGGTATAAAAATTTGTTACAGATGCTTATCCAATTTTTATAAAATTCACTTATTAATGAAACAAAGAGTGGTTTAATTTTTTAAAGAAGCACTTTTAATTCCACATAGTTTTTCTAATAAAGGATGCCTAATTTTTTGTAATCCAAAAGTGCAACAACAGAATAAAGACTGTGGTTATTTGGGTTTATAGCAAATTACATGTCAATAAGAAAGTTACGTTGCTGATACACCAGCAGTTAAAAAAAAAAAGGCAGATTTTGTTACATCTTAAAGTTGATTTTTTATTATTATGACATGGTATTTTCATCATAGGTGAGTATTTTTGTTAAAGAAGACTTGACTTACAGATATTTGAGTTGTAGAGGCGGAAGGGGAGTTTTAAGCTCTGTAATGTTATTGCTGCTCAGGTCCAAAGTTTCGAGGGATTGAAATTGTTTCAGATGTTCAGGTAATATTTCAACAATTCTGTTTCCAGCTCTTGAATTTAAGGATAGCACAGGTGACAGGGTTAATAATAATACAACAATCTGAAAGGTGAGAAATATTTTCTATTCCTAATCTGTTCTTCAGAAATATGGAAAACTACAGTTCTAAAACTGTACTTTTAAAAGTTAAACAGCAATTCTTATGTCACTTTAATTTCACCTTAAATAGTAAATCATATTAGAAGGTATGAAAGCACTCCTATATAAATCTGGGTGTGTTTAACAGCTGTGGCTATCCAAACGCTAAGCACCTAAAAACTGTCTGATTTTTATCTTTTTTTTTGGTTACCAGTTCATCTTCCTTATTATTTTATTAAATGGTATATAAATTGACTAACACTGAGTTGGCGTTCCAGGCACTGATGTGTTAGTTCCCTATTCTTTTTCTTGATTCCTGAGCTATTTCTAATTCTTCTCCTGAACAGTACCCATACGACAGGTACCAATGAACTTAAAATACTCATCAGATTGGTTTTTTCTTTTTTTAAGCCATGCTAGAGAGCTCTCTTTTTCTTCAAGAAATAGCAAGTTTCAATGTATTGCCATAGTCTTCGAAACCAGTGGATATGCTCCAGGGCTTTGAATATTATAAAGGTTATTATGTAAAAGCACACCAGTCTAAATAATCTCTATTTAATTAGATTAATAGTTTGACATTAACAGTCTTAAACACCAGACCATGATGACCAATATGGTAGCCACATGTAGCACTTTAAATTAAAATTAAAGGTTAAAATTCAGTTCCTTAATCACAGTAGCCAAATTTCAGGTTCTCAACACCCATATGTGCTTGGTGGCTGTCAAATGGGTCAGTGCACATACAGAACATTTCATCACTGAAAGTTCCATTGGTGAGCCCTATACTACACCACAGATGAAAAACAAAACAAAACAAAAGAGGCCAAGTCAAATCTCTTAAAAGGTCAACAGTACAACAGCTTTCAAGGGGAAATTCAACACTAAATGACAATCTTGCTAGAAAACAGGAATCAAACTGATGTGCAAGCCATCTTATTTGTCATATTAGATCAGGGAGCCTGGACTTTTTTTTTTTTTTAAAGATTTTATTTATTTTTGACAGAGAGAGAGCACAAGCAGGGGGAACAGCAGAGAGAGCGGGAGAAGCAGACTCCCTGCTGGAACAGGGAGCCCGATGCGGGGCTCGATCCCAGGACCCTGAGATCATGACCTGAGCCGAAGGCAGACACTTAACTGTCTGAGCCACCCAGGTGCCCCAGGGAGCCTGGACTTTTTAGACCATCATTTGGCAGGGGAAAACAACATGTCAACGTAGGAAGGCCAGGATGAAAACAAACTCCACTTACAAAGAAGGTCTCTTTACAACCCACGGAACAATGAAAGAATCTGAAGGCTCTAGGCAGAACTCTATACATGATATGTCACACACTGCTATTTTTATACATAGTCTATGGGTAAGCCTCATTTAATGGGAAAACTTAGGAAATACATCTCATGTGTGTATCTTTCTACCAATACCGTATTTCTATAGTGCTTTGAGAGTTTCATTATAACACATAGGCCTCTCACCATCTCAGAAGATCCTTGAGTTCAGAGTACCTTCTCTGCCATACTCTGAGCTCCTCTGAAGTAGGGGGATAGGTCTCTACCCCTCTGTCCTGGACTGCGCATGAAACCTAAGAATGTTGAGAACATCTCAAATGTCAAGCTGAGGCTAAGCATTGTTCATACAGTATGCCATTTAATCACAGAAATGTTTCTCTAGTAGAGATATTATAGATAATTGTAAAATTAGGAAACCAGAGCTTTTAACCTATGAGGCCATACTGGTCCCAAAGCAATTGCTGAAGGCTAGTTTCATAGAATACACTGTCAAACATATTTTGGCAATTAAGTTCTTATGTGGAGATGCACCCTCAGAAAGGGCCACAACTTCTCACCCTTGCAGAAATGCTGAACTTCTGGTTTCAAACTAATGTGGGAATCAACACTGGCTCATGGAGCCATCACCATGCCAACACTAAGGATGCCCTGGAAACAGGGTCTCCCCAGTCTTGCTTGCACCCCAGGAAGACAACCCAGGGGTGTGCATATGTTTGCCATCCACCAGAGAAGAAGACCAACTTCCTGAATACGTGCCAATGTCAGGTGCTGATTTCCCCACAGGAAAGAACAATAAGGGGAGAAAACAAGTTGGACCTTTTCTATTTAAACAACAACAAACAAAACTTCTCAAAACATTGTTAAAATCCTCCATATGTTACTTTTAAGGACTGCAGGGAATCATGTGTTTTGATCCAGGTCATCAGGGAATCTAACTCTTCACTCTGAAGTTATCCTATACAAGGTAACAGGCATAGGTGATAGATGTTAAAAGCTGAATTTGTCTGTGATTACAGTAAGGTTAAAAAAAAGGGGGGGTAACAGTCCTATTTACAAGTAACAAGTATCAAGCCCCTTAGTCTCCCATAAAGTCTTACAGACTTTGTTTAGAGTCAAGTCAGCCATGACCTCTGATTTTGACCATTTCCCACATCTGGATTTGCCAGTGTATAAACTCCTTGATCTAGTTGTGAGGTACAGGGGAATGCAAGCGAGACAATTAGTCAATTTCTAGATCCCGGAGATGGATTTAGTCCAAGAGACAAGCCACAGGGCCTTAGGGTCAGGGTGTGTGGGTTAAACAAGACCACACTTTAGGGGACAAAAATGTTCTCTTAAACACATAACCCAAGTGTTTGCATTACCAGGATGTCCTCCCATAAACAGCAGAGTAACCCTGAAATGCTCCCCTCTCTCCAACGCCGCCCCCCCCGCCCCCGTCCCTAGTCACTGCCTCCCATCAAACTCTGCATCTGGTTTTGGCTCCCCGGGCTGTCTGAGGCTAGGACAGCCACACTTAACATTTAACAACACAAAGAAAGGGCTCAGCTATAGATTTTTGCAATAAATGGAACAAACTGGTTTTTTGTGGGAGGGAGAGGGAGACCCACAGGTGTCTATCACGTTGGTCAAATAAGGCTACGAGTTAGATAACAGGCCATACAATCTTTGGTTTATGTGTTCATTTGTTTATTAAGTAATTATGAACAAGGTATTAAAACTGCCAATTACTTGAGTGACGAATAAAATTTTCCTTGCAGTTAAAGTATGCTCCAGCCAAAGCCAGCAATTTCCTGAACTGCACACTTCCTAAATTGCAGTGTGAAAGTGCTCAGTTACAGATGGAGCGTGCACAGTGCCCTCTTTGTCAGCCCTGCTTCCTCCACAAAAATCCCTTACAACTGCCAGGATAATAGTCCCTGTATCACAGAATTTTAACTCTGTGCTAATGGAACTGAATTAAATCCAAATACCAGCTTCATATTAGCTCTCAGACTAACTGAGAAATAACCACCTGATATGTCCCAGTTTAAACAAAACAAACTTGCTCTATATCATGCAAGAGTTTTTAAAAAAGGAGACAACTCCATTAAAACTAGATTGAAAAATCTTTTTAATCACCTAAAACCCTCAAAATAAACATAATTCTAATAGAGTTGGTCATGAATAGCCGCTTCTAAAAGACAAAGATTCAATTCAACTCCAGCTTTAATTTTTCTCCAAATATGGATAAATGCCAAAACTGATGAACACACTGAAAGCATTGCGGTTAATTAATATTTTTGGCAGGATGTGCAATGCTTTAAGAAAACAAACAAACTGTGTGAATACCTTTTTCCATGACTTGATGTGGAAGTACCATCTTTCCATTGTTCAAAAATCACAGTATGTAAGTTGTGTAAGTATTGGAAGGCATTGCAACCTTGTGCAAATCCACCTCAAAAGGACAGCGAACATTTTGGTCATCTGTGTCTGTTGACAGTACAAGGTGTTCCAGGGTCAAATCATTGCCGAGGTCAAGTAGAATTAGTCCCTTGTGGACACACAGACAGCTGGGGGCTTGGTCTGTGGGAGCACAGACGGTTCCCTCAGGCATCCAAGAGGCAGGAAAAACAGGAGTCCCAGGTAGTTCACTCAGCCTTCGCTTCTCAGGCTCAACCATAACGGTTTCACTTTGCTGCTAATTTCCCCTTTCAACCCACTTTGCCAGATACCTTTAAAAGGCAGAGCCAAACAGAGCCTGCCATTTTCTTCCAGTGGTATTTGCTCGGAGAGTGCTGGAGATCTAATGAAGAACAAGATGGATACGGTCCCTGACCTCACGGAGCTTACGTTCTAGCAGGGAGAAGAGGCCAGCAGATGGAAGTGGTCACCACGGCGATAAGCGCCATGCTAAGGCGGCAGTGGAAGAAAGAACAGCCTCCCAAAAAAGTGGTGGGAGGGGTCAGCAAAACTTCCCATGGCAAGGAGACAGGCTAGTGTTCCAAGCAGAAGCAAGTGTGTGGACGGGAAGGCTCCCCTTTGAGGAAATGGAAGAAAGCCTTGATGGCTGGAGTAGAGAGTTCATGGGTGAAGACTGGGGAGAGATGAAGTCCAAGAGTGAGGTAGCTGAGAGGAGAGGAATGTAGGTCAAGTGGGACCCTGTAAACCTCGCAGACATTGGGCCTTTATCTTGGGGGAGCAGGGCAGATTTCAGATACGAGGTGACAATATCAGACACACATTTTAGAAAGTGCGCTCTGGCAGTAGTGGGTAGAAACACTGGTGGGGGACAGGCATGACCAGGTGCAGGAGCACCACCAGCAGGTGCAGAGGACCAATGACAGTATGCTGGGATAACAATGACCTTCTGCCTAGCGATCCACTTTGGGGGTGAAGCACCACTCTGCATCTGGTTCCCCAGAGCACAGGCTGTGCTTTTCTCGCTGCTTGACACAGAGGCTCAGGTTTCCAGCTCTGCAGCCTCTGGACGCTGGAACCCAGTTCGGCACTACTAGAGTTCCCATCCACTCTCCATTACTGCTTCTGTGTGTGTTGCTGACGTGGAAGGCCTTCTAAAGCATGCAGTGCAGACTGGGATCCCAGCTGGCTCAGGTGTGAGATGCTACTGACCATTTTAATGTCTGTAGTCACTGGGAAAATGGACAAGTGTGTTATTCCCATATATAAGATTGTGCTCATTTGTTCTGATCCTCTGAACGCCTGCACTGAATGTAAACCCAGACTAAATTATAACAGTAAAATAAAAGTTATGAAGTTAGTGACATGATCACTTGGTAAGATGATGATTGGTTTTACTTTCTGACTCACTCCTATCTCCACAAAGCCTAAGAGTCTCAAAAGAATTTCATGGACCCTTAAGTGGATATAAACGGTGTCAGTTTACTTCCAGAGTCTAAAAGGAGAATGGAATATTCTTTGTGAGAAACCAGAATACCGGGTTTTTCACATCGGAATTCCTGAACCAATTAAACTGCAGCCTCTTGATGAATAAGAAATATCTGTCAATAGTTTCAACTGTCTCCTACCTATTATAGATGTTAACAGGCAGCTTAAAGCTTTGCCACTGAGATGTGTGAAGAAAGATGTGTAATCTTAGCTATGTAAGAGAAGGTTATGTGCATGTGGCATTGACCTTTTAGAGAAGGTGTACACAGTGAAGCTTACTTTGAAACCATTTTTTATATGTTGCAATGCCCTCTCTTCTTAGAATGCATCACTCTAGCCACACCCCTTGAGTCCAATTCAGTCAGTGGAGCTAACAAATGGCTGAAGCTGTGGTCATTCTACACAGCCATAGAGAAAGCATATTAACTGTATTGACTGGGACAGTCAGCTTGGCCCCAAGGAAATACTGATTTCTATATACAACCTGCAAGCAAACACGTTAGCACCCATTTATAAAAGAATTACAAGTTGTTAAAGAAAACACTACATTTTTGCAAATACATTAAAAAAAAAAAAAAAAGGTCACTTACATTTCCAACAATAACTTCTTCGTCCCCCAACAAAATGCTTCCTTGAAAACCACCTTGGCTGGAATAACTAAAACCCGATAATGTTAGGCTTCTTTTAACAGACAGACTTGGCAAGCAAAAGAACCTCTCCCATGCAGATAAAAATAAACTGTCTCTGCTCATCTTTTTTCTAAAAAGATAATTAAGAAGTTTCATTAAAAGAACACATGTTCAGACTGGTCCACTGGCACTGTGGCATCAAAGAGTAAAGCCAACTGAGGGAACTTTTGCAAGGAGAAAGATTCTTGATTAAGAACTAATGATACTAAGGGCGCCTGGGTGGCTCAGTCGGTTAAGCGTCTGTCTTCGGCTCAGGTCATGATCCCGGAG